TACTAAACAAACAAACAAGCAACAACAAGAACGAAAACTAAAATTCAAAATCAGATATCCTGAATTAGAAATATGATTCCAATATTCTTTATACTCAGATTCTTCACCTGAATGATGTAGCTAATAGTGGAAATCTCACAGGATGCAATTAAATGACACAATGTATGGAAACACATTTATCACAGTTCATAAGACACAGTAGACTCTCAGTGTTTGTTGAATCAATCACGCCTTAAAATCAGCCATTTCTAATAGCATCAGTTATCTTTCACATTTCCTTCTCTGACTCAACTCTTCCACCGTTTCTACCGTAAGGCCCTAACCAACCTTAGTAAGTCATAACTGATCTCACATTCTCATTTTTCAGCCTAAATCTATCCATGCCCTACAACTCTGCCAATAATCTCTTTTCCCTACTCAAAAACTCAAAAGGAAGATTTTGCTGCCTACAGGCAAAAGAGCGAGCTCCTCATCTTGTCATTCAATAGTCTAAATTCGTTTCCTTGCACACTTTCTAACCATCATTCCCATTGATCTAGTTACCGAGCACCCTTTGTTCTCACTGGGCTGGGTTTTGGGACACACTTGCTGTCAGTCATGAAGTCAGGTTATGCCATTTCACCTATTCCTGGGAATCTACTCTGGCAAATTCAGATTGACTATTTTATGAGAGCCAAAGGCGTTACTTACACCCTATCTTGTACCTTTGTTCTTTAAATATTTCAGTCATAAATATGAAAATTCTGCTTTTCTGAACAGATTATAACATTAATCAGTTTTATAATCATAGAATATTTTGTTGAACTTCACAGTTTTTAAAGAGAAAAATTGCAGAATATTTTCCTACAATGTGGATTCATATGTTTACTCACGTTCTCTGAAGCGACATACTGAATATCGCAGAAAGTTAGAGGCGGAAGAGATTAGCTATTGAATAATATTTTTATGTGCTGTCAAACAATGTTATTTCTGAAAAATAGTTCATAACACATATCTACCACATGTGGCATATTAAAGGCAAATTTCACTTGTCAAAATAAATCAGTGATTCCTTATCTAAAAAAAAATTTAAAATCACAACTACTTTGTGAAATATCTTCTTGAACTGAAACATGCCTGTTTGGATTTGTGGATACTGGGAATTCGAGCAGGGAATTCATTGGTTCAAGATTAAAGGCAACAGTTTTTAAGGCTGCTTTTATCCAGTTCCAAGACTGATGATGAGAAACTGTTCTTCATACCTCACTTTTCACAATGTTGATAACTGGCTTTATATTTACTCTTTTTGAGATAGCTTACAGTATTAGCCACATTCTACCTGTTTGGGAGTGCCAAGTTATAAAAGTACAAAATGTACTCACGGCTTCTTTCGAACAAAATCCTAAGGTTATTCCCACTTCTGGAAATTTAGCAATCATGTCAAAAAACTGAACTACGGTGAGCATCGTTCATAAAATATAAACCAATAATGACAAAAGTCAAATAGATTGTATTGCTGATTCCAGCAGGATGACAACGTGATGCTTTACATAAGCAGTAACTAAGAACTGTAGATCATCAATCATGGTGACATTGTTTTCCACTGTACTCTCTTAATTTCACATTTTATATTGCATTTTGCAAAGTCTCTGAGAAAAAGAGAAAGGAAACAAACTATCATTTAAGGATACGTAAACCTCTGTTTAAGTATTTATGGGAACTTGTAGCAGTTAGGACATTTTCTTATTATGGTATTTCTGCCCTACCAAGTTTTCCTGCAGTAACAACTGAATATTTGTTACAGTCATGATAGTCTTCCAGGATATACTCAGGGTCCTTTCAAGTAAGAAGTTGGGACAATTAGAATAGTATCCTGTACTCAACTTAAAAAAAGCTAACAGGAAATCTATATTTTACCCATAGTTAGAAAAAAAAGTGTTAAAAAATCTCTCATTTTAACACTAATATTCTGAAAATTCAATTCACTAAATTCAAGTGCTTTTATTCTTACAGTTCTCTGTTAAGAAAGCAGCTTTGCCAGTTTCTTTTCTTTGAAATAATTCCAACTTTGTTCAGTAAATCTTTTTGAAGATATTTGAAGATTTTTTTTTTTTTTTTTGAGACAGTCTCGCTCTGTCGTCCAGGTTGGGATGCAGTGGCTCAATCTTGGCTCATGGAAACCTCTGCCTCCCAGGCTCAAGCAATTGTCCTGCCTCCACTTCCCAAGTAACTGAGATTACAGGTGCACGCCACCATGCTCAGCTAATTTTTATATTTTTAGTAGAGGCAGGGTTTCACCATGTTGGCCAGGCTAGTCTCGAACTCCTGCCCTCAGATGATCCACCCACCTCAGCCTCCCAAAGTGCTGTGATTACAGGTGTGAGCCACCATGCCCAGCTGATGGAACCTTTTTGTTTAAAAAGTTCCTATTTTGAAACTTTAAATTTCTCCTAGGCCAGATGTAGTGGCTTATGCCTATAATCCCAGCAGTTTGGATGGCTGAGGCAGGTGGATCACCTCAGGTCAGGGATTCAAGACCAGCCTGGCCAACATGGTGAAACCCTATCTCTACTAAAAATACAAAAATTAGCCAGGTGTGGTGGCTGGCACATGTAATCACAGTGACTGTGGAGGCTGAGGCAGGAAAATCACTTGAACCTGGGAGGTGGAGGCTTCAGAGAGCTGAGATCTCGCCACTGCACTCCAGCCTGGGTGACAGAGTGAGATTCTGCATAAAAAAAAAAAAAAAAAAAAAAAATTCTCCTTTTTAATATTTTTAATATGATCACATGTTGAATTTATTTTATTTTATTTAATGTTTTTATAACTGAATTAATAAAGTGCCCAGTAAATGCTACAAATCAATATGTATTGTCTGAATGAAAATAAATTAAAACTAAGTAAGATTAGTTTCAAATATAGTCTTTCTTGAAAGAGTGAGTTTGGCCTTCCTAAATTACAGTTTTCAAGATTGATCTACTTTCTTTCTGAGGTCACCATACTCACGGTACTAGAATTTAAGTGTCTAAATAAAAAACACACTATATGATTTCTCTTTGACTTAAAAACAAAATATATAAACAAAATTATAAGTCTGATTAACTGTATGGGTTTTTTATTCAGTTGATTTAACTGTGTTTTCTCCTAGGATATAAATCATGTGACACAGCAAACTCAAAGATGTGGAACTCAAATGACAACTGTAAAAAATTCAGATACCCTGTTTGCCTTTATAGTTATGTTAATTACCACACTTTAATAAAGTGATTATTATTTAGAACTCTTCCTACCTAGTTGGCCACTTATTTACTCCATTCCTCAGCCATAGAAGTAAATACTGCATGTCTAAAATTGGTGCTGGTTTTGATAAGCCATAGTGATGACATCAGCCTGAGTTCCAACTCCTGGAATAAAGAATTGTGACCATTCAGTGACTTATGGGCAGTTAGGTCCCAACATAACTCTCCTTGTCCTCTCATGCCACTGATTTGGAGCCAAGGTTTGTGCTCCACGATACCAAACCAGATGAAAGGAATTACATTTCTACTTTCAAATGCAAGGAATTTTAAAATATTTATGGCACACAAAAAAGTCAACGTATTTGATGCCTAATGCCACTGAACTGTACACATGATGATGGTTAAAACTCTAAATTGTATATAATATATTAGACCACAAGTAGAAAAAAAAAAACAAACAAACAACTGCGCTCATGTGTTTCAAAGGTTTTCCATGATTGTGTAATATATATAGTTGGTTATACCTTCCGACAGTGACTAGATCACTCTTTCTGCAACATCTGTTAACCCAGGCTCCCCAGGGTCTAGGTAAGCACCTATTCTTCAGAAATTAGTAAACAGCACTTATTAGCTAAAAGTAACACAGACAAAAAACAAACAAACCTCAAAAATACCATGTAAAGGCAGGTGTTGGACAAGGAGCCTATGAAAACACCCCTTGCTCCTCCTCATTGCTCTAGTGTGAGAAACTAGGACATGGAGAAACTCCTACCTCCTATCTCAGGAATAGCCAATCCTGCTTGTTTGCAACAAGGATAAGTAAATGCTGACCTGAAGGAGCTGCTGGGCTTCGGGACCCCAGACTGTTGTTCAGGCACTTCATAGAGAGTCAAGCATCATGCCAAAGGCCTGAGGACGCAACTCTCATCTTTCATTCTCCTGCCTCATCAAGAGTGAATCTAGGCCGGGCGCGGTGGCTCACCCCTGTAATCTCAGCACTTTGGGAGGCCAAGCGGGGCTGAGCACGAGGTCAGGAGATCAAGACCATCCTAACACCGTGAAACCCAGTCTCTACTAAAAATACAAAAAATTAGCCGGCTTGGTGGCGCATGCCTGTAATCCCAGCTACTCTGGAGGCTGAGGCAGGAGAACCGCTTGAACCCGGGAAGCGGAGGTTGCAGTGAGCCAAGATCGTGCCACTGCACTCCAACCTGGGTGACAGAGTGAGTGAGACTCAGTCTCAAAAGAAAGAAGGTGAACCTTGAAGGCGCCCATAGGTCGCGCAGTGTTTTGGAAGCTACAAGAGGGCTGTAACTCTCTGGGGTTGCAGACAGAAAATCGCGTTAACGTGAGAGAGGTATTTGAAATAAAGAACCTTCCCCACCACCCGCCCACACAATATCATGCTACAGTTATCATAGTTATCATAGTCATTCTGCTCTTATTGCACCCAGGACAAACTTCTATCTCTGCATATATGTCATTTTAATGACATAGCCTGTCTGTGCCCGGACTATAACGTGAGCAGTCCTGTGATCTCTATCTGCGCATAACCAGTGCCTAACGCAGGTCCTGGCTCTTGGAAGGCGCTCAGTGAGTCGGGGAGTAAGTGAGGAGCTCAACTCTGCAGCTGTACCCAAGACAGCGCGGGCAGGAGCAGAGGACACTCCAGAGCTCTGCGGTTGCAAACACACCCCTGCAGGTGCTGCCACTTCCCGAACTCTTAGGTTTCCGCTTACTCGCACACGCATCCCGACTTCCCCCAACCCTGGAACTACCTACCAGTAGCGGAGACCAGCAGACCGACAGCACGCACATGATCCCCATGAGCTGAATGGCCGTCTCGGTCGTGATGCGGCCCCACTGGGCGCTGGACTGAGACGCCGTGGCCTTGGCCCGGCAGCGGGACACCAGGGCCTTAATGGTGGCCAGGTTGCAGGCAAAGGTGATTGTCAGCGCCAAGAGCCCCAGGAAGGCAAAGGCAGAGGCGAAGAAAAGGTTGCCCCAGTTATGCGAAGAGCTAGTCCCGTTGCCCCCTCGCCCGGTGCTGATGAAGCACCACGTCCCGGGCCACTGCACCGTGTACTGGCCCACGCCCAGCACCGGCAGCAGGGCGAAGGCGAGCACGGCCAGCCACACACCGAGCAGCACAGCACGGGTGGCGCGCGTCTTCATGTGGCTCGCGTACCAGTGCGGCGCCCTGATGGCCAGCGCCCGCTCGACGGCCATGGCGCTGGCGATGAACAGCGAGGAGAGCCCGAACACAGTCATGGTCAGCCCGAAGAAGGTGCAGAGCCGCCGCGACGGGTCGAGGTGCTCCCAGCGCTGCTTGGACAGGTACACGACGATGACCACCGGGGTGGTGAGAAGCTGCCCGACCAGGTCGGTAAGCGCGAGCCAGCCGATGCACAGCAGGAAGGACTTCTTGCGCTTGCTCTCCCGGCGCCGGTAGCTGCGCGACACTAGCAGCATGGCCAGCGCGTTGCCCACGAAACCCGTGAGCAGCATGGTGATCGGGAAGGCCACGGACACCGATCCGCAATCCTCGCCGGACCCTGGAGGGCGCGTGAGGTTGCCCCGCGCCTCGGCTGAGCGCTCGGGCGCCCACATGCCAGTGTAGGAGTGGTTGAGGCGGGTGCAGAAGGGGGCACTCCCTCCGTAGCCCCGGGTCTCCTTCATGTTGGCTTCGAGGCGAGGAGGAGATGGCGTCCAGAAAGCCGCAGCGGGACGGGGCAGGAGCGGCGCGGGCAGCGGCGGAGGTCGGCTGCTACCGCGGCTGGGGCTGGGCTGCCCTCCATGGTGTGGGGGCGCAGCCGCCGCCCTACTCCGCTACTGAGGCCGCGGCCGCGGCGGCGCCAGGGCTCACTGGTCCCGGAGACAGCCGCGTCTTCCTCTCCGAGAAACCTCTGGCTCCGAAGCGCACAGAGGTGCCCGGTCCCCTCTATAAGGCCGAGGGGGCGGGGCGCCCGTGGGTGTGGACAGAACCGAGGTGGGAGGAGGGTGCAAAGCAACTGAGAGCCTCTCTTGGATTGCCTAGCCTGAACGCCTGGTTTGAGAAAACCCCCAGACGGGCTCCTCTGAAATGCCCTGCTCCTGGCCGGACGCGGAGCGCACTAGGCGCCTCCTCCAGTTCTCCGCCAAAGTGTCGGGGGGCGGCAAGCAGCTAGTAAGTCTCACTGGGCTTGGGGACCCCAGACAAGCTGCCGAGGCGCACCTGAGCGCTCGCCCTCCTGCGTCTTCGACCACAAACGATCCTACAGGGACCGGATCCTTCTCCCGAAGTCCTTTAGTAACTCTTAGTAAAGGGTAAATCCCCTGTCCTTAAGCAGTCCACACAAGCCTTTGCATAGGTGATCGCTAACTTTTCTCCTTTCTGCTTTGGGACTCTGCTTGAGTGATTATAAAACGGCCAAGCCGTCCTGTCTCCTGGGATGCCGCTAAAACCTATAAAATTACTAGAGAATGCCTGTAGACTTAAGGGAATAGACACAGGGAAACACATACATTGGATGCTTGAATTCCAGGCCCAAGAAATCCCATCTATTACCCCTCGCCTAATCCTGCCCGCTCCCCTTGCCCTCCGACCCCAGCAAATCAGTCAGCTAGGGCCAAAGTGGCGACAGGAGGGTGGCACAATTTGCATATCTGAGGTAGTGAAATCAGCTGCTCCCAGGGGAGCAGAGGAGAAAGGTATTCCTTACAAAGCCTCCAACCTTCTTTCTTTTCTTCATACAATAAGAACTAGAAGAATATTTAGATGTTATGAAGGCCTTAATCTATGTGGAAACTTTGCCTTTGACATAATAAACACTGAATGAAAATAGGCATACTTGCTTGCCTCATAACATCTTTCAGTAAGCCATATGTTAAGTACTTCGCACAAGCATTTTCTCATTTTATCACAGAAATCCTCCAAGGTACTATTGCCATTATTATTCACCTTAAAGGGAAACCTCAAGAAGCTAAAGAATGTTCTTGAAGTCTCAGCAATTCTTAACTCCCATCTAATTTGAACCACGTATTCCTGACATGGATCCCGTAACTGCTCTCAGCAGATGAATATTAAAGGTGAGATCATTTTCCCCTAACCTTAGGAAAGTCTTTTTTTTTTTTTTTCCTTTTCATGCTGTTCAAGAAATAAAAAGATTTTTAAAAATAATTGCAAAATTCATTTTTCCTCATATTTATAAGAAATTAGACATAATCACATAGCTCTATAAAGACCATTATTCTGATGGTCAACTTTCAGATCAAGCCCAATCAGTTTTGCCTTTCCTAGCTTAGCTGATGTTCTGCATGGGTGCTCTTTACTTTTAAATTAAACAGAGGTGAGAATGGCAACTGTCGGCCAGCGCGGTGGCTCACGCCTGTAATCCCAGCACTTTGGGAGGTCGAGGCAGGCGGATCATGAGGTCAAGATACATGAGGTCAAGATATCGAGACCATCCTGGCCAACATGGTGAAACCCCGTCTCTACTAAAAGTACAAAAAATTAGCCCGGCGTGGTGGTGCGTGCCTGTAGTCCCAGTGGCAGTGGGCCGGGATCGTGCAACTGCACTCCAGCCTGGTGATAGAGAAACACTCTGCCTTAAAAAAAAAGAAAGAAAAAGAAAAAGAAAGAAAAATTAGCTGGGTGTGGTGGCGCACATCTGTAGTCCCAGGTACTCGGAAGGCTGAGGCAGGAGAATTGCTTGAACTCGGGAGGTGGAGCACCGCACTCCAGCCTGGCGTCTGCTCTAAGCAAGACTGTCTTTAAAAAAAAAAAAAAAAAAAAAAAAAGAATGGGATATGTCCCTCTGCATGTTTTCTTTATGTGCTGTTGTCTTGATTCTGTATGAGAGTTTGAAAAACTATCACTATAACATTGTATATTTTTTAAACAAGGAAAAGCAAGAATACAATTTAAATTCCATTTTAATAACGCATTAATCACAACATGAATTTCGTTTTGTGTTTTGCTGTCATTTAAAATTTTTTTTGCACTTTTAAGTTTTATTAACTAAAATGTTGCATTTACAATGGGAGCAAGAGGTAGGAATGGTGAAATGGTTTAACTCTAAAGTCTTCCCCAAACTTCTGTCTTATTATTTTGAATTAATCTCAAACCTATATTTGGGAGAGTATTTTTCTAGACTAATAGCATTTGAAAAGTAAAATAATATTTGAGGTTATTCTTAGACAAAGCTTTATCCAAAGCATTTGGATGAAAGTGGCTATCAAGTTTATTCCTTCTGCAGTTAATACGATTCTAGTGTAACTAAATATTTTAAATTTTATACTATTTCACCATTCACACAGTAAAGGAAGCAAAGCTGATCTTTTCCCAGTTATGTCAAAAAACTATTCTCATTTTTATTTACAAATATTTGACTTATTTGAAACTTTTACTTCTCCCACTGAAATGCTTGCTATAGCCAAATGGACTTGATAAACATGATAAGCATCAGAGCATGTATTAGTAAAGAACTGTTAGCCTCTTACCTCTATACCAATGAACTGAATGTGCTGCATTTCAGATAATTTGTGTTAACATTTCTCTTTTTTAAGTATTTTGCTTCATCCTAAGTTGTCTGCCTTTAGCTATTCACCTTGTGAACAAGACAGTCACACTCTGTTGCCCAGGTTTTAGTGCAGTAGCATGATTTTAGCTCATGATAGCTTGAACTGGGTTCAAGTGATTCTCCTACCTCAGCCTTCTGAGTAGCTAGGGCTACAGGCACATGAAACCATGTCTGGCTAATTTTACAATTTTATTTTTTGTAGAGACGGGGTCATGAGGTTCTGTGGAATAACAATGTGAAGCTAGCAGTTGGATTCTGGTTGGCACTTTTTGGTCAGTTACTACAGATATAATCTGAATTGTGTTGGTCTGAAACACCACCACCCTCTAGTGACATAAAGGGTAATAACATGCTTCATTCTGTTTTAAGAGAATTTCCAAAGGATCCATGGATGCTTTGCTTAAGGAATCTCTGATTTCTTTCCTAGAGATCTACTTATCAGTACATAATTGTGTCACTTTGTTTTCCTTTGAGGTTACAAACTGGCAACTTTGTATAAGAGTCAACAAACCAGTAGAGGATTAAATTGAAAGACCAGATATTCAATTAAAAAAAAATTTTTTTTTTAAGTATATATTCACCTCTTATATTTTCAATGAAATTCCACCCTGGACATGTTTTAAATTCACAGATTACTTAATAGTACCCCTCTTGTACCTTACAGTGTAAAATGTATAATATATATTAATATTTAGCTAGTGACAATGAATTTGTTTTGCTATTTACTTCTATTGGACATCTATTTTAAAATCTTAAATATGGGTACAAAAGAAGACTAATAGCTAGTCACATGATCAACCCTTGATTGCCTCACTATGGATGTAAAATATCTGAAAGTCTTTCTCCATGGACCTAACCAGTAATTTTAGTTTATATTTTAGTAATTCATTCATTCATTAACTATTCATTGAGCACCCAATCTATGTCAGACACTGCTACAGTCATTAGGGATATAAAAGCAATATATAACGGTCTCCACATTTGTGGAGTTTATATTTTAGTGCAAAATTATTGATTTTAAGTGCCAAACAACCAAAGAAAAAACACTGATCCCATGGCTTTTGTCTTCTCAGAATGATTGCCATGGAAGTACAATGCAAGGTAGACTTAACATTTAACAATCAATCAATATAATTACTGTATCAACAAAATAAAAGCAATGCTTAGACATGTTTGCTAAATCAAATATCTGGATACACTCGAGTCTCTTGCTATGATTGCTTTTATCGTGTCTTTTCTTCCTATTCTTTACATGCCTAATAATTTTTGATTGAAAACTGGGCATTGTAATGTATTCTAATGACTCTAATTCTGCTGTTTTTTTGTTTCCCCTGAGTACTATTGATTTTATGTTTGTTTGTTCTGTTTGACAGCTAACTTTTCCGGATTCAAACTGCCAATATTGCTTCCCCTGGCGCATGCAGCTATTGATATCTCTGCTTTATTCTCACAGTTTTCCATGGCTGCTCTTTCAGCTTGGCTCCCTATAGACTCATTTCCCTATGCCTCTTAATTTGCTGGTCAGTTAGCAATGGAGATCACCTTCCACGTAAATTCCTTGATTCTAGGGATTCTCCTCTTATTTCCAGCTGTGCTGACAGCTTAAGGCTGTTTCCTGACATTTCAAGCTTCTGAAGCTTCACCTTTCTGCCACTCAAGCTACATACAGCACAGTTGGGAATATATTCCCTTAAGTAAAGCATCAAAGTAGATGCATTCTTGAATAACTATCTTTAAGACTAGATTTCTATCTGGACTTCCCTCTAGTGAATGGGATTAGCTGCTCTTATAAAAGGGCTTGACAGAGGGAGTTTGGTCTCTTTCTTGTCATCCTGACATGTGAAGACAGGGCAAGAAGGCCTTCACCAGAGACCCGATTATGACACCTTGCTCCCAGATATCCCCAACCTCCAAAACTTTGAGAAATAAATTTCTATTCTTTATAAATTACCCAGTCATGGTATTGTTTATAGCAGCACAAAACAAACTAAGACACTGATGTTTAGATCAATAAAATAATTATAAAGAGCATCGTATATACACATATGTGTGAGAGAGATACATAGAACTATGTGTACATATGCATACATTCATATTCAACAGATTTTTGTTCAAAGTGTTAAGATGGTTCAAAACAAGAGACTTCTCAACAAGTGGTGCTGGAAAAACTAGTTATCTGAATGAATATAAAAATGAACATAGACCTTACACCACAAAACAAAATAGATAATAGACTTAAACGTAACTGTTAAGGTCAGGCATGGTGGCTCACACCTGTAATCCCAGCAGTTTGGTAGGCTGAGGAGGGCAGATCACAAGGTCAGGAGATCGAGAACATCCAGGCCAACA